TTCAGCAGTGCATGAATACATCCTCATGATCCAAGCAGAAGTACATTTGGCTTCAGGAAGGTCAGTTCTACGTTCTTAAAAAACATTCAGGTGATGTCTGGCAACAGATGAGATGTAAGGTATCAGAATTTAATAAATCCTGTAAATTCGGATTTATTTAATCCTAAACGGGTTGAATCTGGAAATAGTGTCTTGCAACAGATTTGCTAAATTCTGTAAGTCCAATAAACAAGTGGCAATTTCTTCCAGAATTTAAGAAGTTGTTATGAGTGTTGGAGAAACTCAGAAGCCCGCAAAGTTAAATCCCAAGTCCCCTGAAGTTAAATCCAGTGGTTCGTGGGATTTTGTAAATCTGGGATTTACCGCCGAAATCCACAGAATCTGGATTTACGGCATGTAGGGATTTATTTTGTCCAAAATGCAGGATTTGGCTTAAATCCTGGGTTAAATCCACAACCCCTCAAGCACTGCACAGTTTGAGCTTACTAAAAAGTTTAAAAATTTCATCTTTTTCGTAGGTTCGACGAAGCAGTTACCGCTATTGAAAGGGCGGCTAAGAACCAGAACAACAGAGAAATCATTGCTGTAGTTACCCGAGTAAAAGCTGTTGCATCTGCTCGAAAAAAGGGCAATGAGCTCTTCAAAGCTTCGAAGTATACGGAAGCATGTATTGCTTATGGAGAAGGGCTTCACCATGATCCGTCGAATGCCATTCTTCTCTGCAACCGAGCTGCGTGTCATTCGAAGCTCGGACAATGGGAGAAAGCAATTGATGACTGCAATAATGTTCTTAGTTTGAAGCCTTCGTATACTAAGGCTAGACTAAGAAGAGCTGATTGTTTTGCTAAGGTGAGTGATCCTTGCTACTGAACATTCCATACAGCCACTTAATTCATTTGAATTTACATATCTAACAACTTCAATTTGCTTTTTTGACATTTCACATCAAAAAATACCACCATTTTTAATTTGTGAAATACATCTTCTCATGTATGAGTGTAAAGTTTGAAGTTTAGGTGTTAGATATGTAAATACATAGGAATTGAGTAGTATGTATATAAATATTCCTTTATTAAATTATTGGTTTGGTTATTAAGGTGGGGAAGTGGGAGGCATCAGCACAAGATTATCAGATTTTGAGGAGAGAATTTCCAGGAGATGAGGAGGTGGCAAGAGCACTTTCAGAAGCTAAATCACATCTTCATCAGAGAAAGTCTTAGCTTCTTCTTGTATAAGGGAGAAATCTTTACGAAACTGTAAGTTTTGTTATATGATAAAAACGATTTAAAAATGCTTAAGATTGCTGAATTCTCTCTCAAAAAGCAAATAGAATAGTCTGTTTGAAAAATGGGCTGTTGGTCAATAAGAAACATGTCAAATGATCAGTTTTTGTTTTTTTTAATTTATATGACTTTGCAAAAATCATTTTTTTAAGTAGTTAATTAGAAGAATTGTTAAAGTGTTTTAAGTATGATTAGATATTTGAAATTGGTTTGTTAAAATATGCCACTCACCATTATCAAGTTGAAAAAACTGTAACTTTGGATTACCAGGGCAACAACCTGAGCTCTCTCACTCATTGAGATATTTTCTGCTTTGGCTTGATAGCTTATGAATTTGTTTAATTGGTTTAACTTCCTTGGAGATCACCTACCCTGAGAGTGCTCCCATGTGAGCATGCTTAATTTAAGGTAGGAATGTCAAATTGTTCTTTTGTGGGCCAGGTTCGGGTTTGATTGACTCGACCTGAAACTTGCTGACTTGAATCAGACCTGAATACCAAACAGGTCAGAAAGTCCGACTTAAACTTATCCTGTCTTCAATTTATTGACTTGAACACGACCTATATATCCCTTTTAACTTCACCATTATCAAGTTGAAAAAACTCAACTTTGGATTACTAGGGCAACAACCTGAACTCTCACTCATTGAGATATTGTCTGCTTTGGCTTGATAGCTTATGGATTTGTTTAACTGGTTTAACTTCCTTGGAGATCACCCATCTTGAGAGGGCTCCCATGTGAGCATGCTTAATTTAAGGTAGGTATGTTAAATTGATTTTTGTGGGCCAGGTTCGGGTTTGATTGACTCGACCTGAAACTTACTGACTTGAATCAGACCTGAATACCAAATGGGTCAGAATGTCCGACCTAAACTTAACCTGTCTTCAATCTATTGACTTGAACACGACCTATATATCCCTTTTAACATAAGACATAACAACTATTCAGCTCAAATTCACATTGATTTTATATCAATCTCGGATTAATTTCGTGTTTGCAAGTTAAGTTCAAGTAAGCTTCGGGTTTGCTGATTATGTTCGTGTCAATTTTTGAGTTGACAAGTAAACTAGAACCCCGATTTTCTTAGATGAGTTCGGGCCAATTTTTTCTCACCCCTTACAAGTTAGATGTTACAAATCTCTGATGAAAATTTTAACTATTATACTAAAAGGCGTCTCGATTTTAGGAGTTCAGCATCATTCTCGTCAAGGGGTTTTAAACTAGTTTGATCAACTTATATTAATCACATTTTAGAATATTCAAGAAAAAAAGCTTATATATTTCAATAAATTTTGCATATTGATGTATTATAAATCGTTATTCTGATCATTAGTATTTGTTTCTTCACAGAACGGTACCTGCTCTTCTTCAGAAAAAAAAAATGAAGCAGGTGACGCATCTAGCTTGCATGATTGAAGAAGAGAGGACTTAAATACTATCCACAAATATATATATATA